TGCAATTCTGCTATTGGTTCGAGGTGACGACTATCTGGTCTCATGTGTATGATGCTGTTTGATTGCTGAAGTTCGCTATTGCTCATCTTCCTTGCAATTTGGTATCGGAGTTGTGGTTCAGTGCGCTAATCTGGCGATTATCTTCTGCCTAATGCGGTACATGCACGCGGTGTGTGCGGTGAGCGACCGTGTCGTGGGACGAGTGTAGTGAGGAGGGCGAAGATAAGTAGGCGACCCAGGTGGAGAGGGGTTCGCCAGGAAGGCTAAGTGGTGATTATTGGGTGTTTGCAGTGTGATGAGAAATATCCGGTGTGTGATTGATGCTGAGGTGGAACGGTTGTGCAATGCTGGTTGTGTCGAAGCAGCGATTGGTCATCACAATCAACATCGGGTCATCTGGTGAGAATATTTGTGGCTGGGGGCAGCTATTTTGAGGTATGTTGCACCTAACCTTATCTACCCTCTTCGACACTTCTTACTGTGAGGATGTGTGTTCTGTCTTGAGAGTCCTCTCATGTGAGGAGTCGTGTGCGCTCAACCTTGAGAGTCGTCAATCTTCACGTGAACATCTGGAAGGAGAGGGCGGTGCTATCTGAAGGGCCCTGGACGAAGCACTGGGTCACGGTCACCATGCCAAACCACCAGGCGTAGAGCACGCATGCTTTGCTGCTTTGTCCTTTGTCTGCTCGCTGCGCTGTAGAGGGGTTTTGAAGGGAGCGCCAGCCCTATGGGACAGACGAGACCGGGCGTCTATAAATTAGCACCAGCGGGGTACCTTCCATTGGTTGTGATCGTCGTCCTGTCTGCGACGTTAAAGAATTCCTTAGGACTTCGAGGGCCGTCCATATAAACGCCTCCTGATCAGCCAATCGGTCCGTGTAAGGCTCGCTGCATGTAAGGATAAATACTGTGCAGGGCTGGCCAGCTCAACAGGACTCGAGGCACAGGGGTGGGCCGTGTGCACACCTTTAGACACGCACGCTGTCCGGATTGCTCAGGGACTTTGACAACAAGAGACATTCAGGACAAACTGAGGGAGGGATAGATTCCAAGTGATAAGTTTGGGCAAGATTCCACTCTGCAAACAGACCCAACAAATGATTCTATTTTTATTTTGATTAGTTAGATGTACAACCATTAACATCTGACAGACAACATAGTTTAGAACTGTTTTCTGTTCATTGTGCTTCTGTTTGCGAACTAGTCAAAGTCAAAGAAGTTTCGTTTGTAGGAATCTGAACTTACCTATTGAACCCAAATGTATCTACTCTGATGTAGTCACCAATTAATTAATCGGTCTGTGCATGACGCTGCGGTAGGCATCAGATGAGTGTCCTAGTGCAGACAGTGTGCAGTCTGTAGCTTATGAGCGACATGGAGGTCCCACAACCGGACGACGGGATCTTGCGATCGGCTAGACGCCCGGTAGCCCACTTGGCCTTAGGACCAGAGGGTGACAGGTTAGTGTTCCGCCAGTTTAGGGAGAGGCAGCAGCAGCAAAGGAGAGCTAGGGCAGCAGAGGCCAGCAGGGCATTCGCAAGCGATGCCGCAGCTTCAGCAGCCATAGCAACTTCTGTGCAGCAGAGTTCCCAGGCTAGCAGTTCAGGATCCCTCCCTGATGGTGTAATCACTCAACTGGCTTAATGGCAAGCCAACCGTTAGTGATGACTCCCGAGAAAGTCGCCATACAGCGAGCTGTTGATCGCGAGGCACAACGACAACAGGCTTTCGGAGAGATTAAGGCAGAAAAAGAAAGAATGATTAGAAGAAGAGCCAGGTTGCAGCAAAGACAAGCAAATATTAGCGAGTTAGAGAAGATGGACCCAGCGGAGTTGGATGATGAAGTAAGGACCCTGAGGTCGGTCTTGCTAGGTGTAGTAGAGATGCAAGATCACCAGACAACAATCTTACAGGACATCCAGCAGAGTCTGGCCGTCTTGGTCGGGCGAGCGCAGGCGGCACCATCGCTGTCCGGGCCTGGTGTCTGGCCCGTTGTACATCCTCCTCCTTTTGTCCCACCGGTGACTGGGGTATCCCCATATACCGCTCCAACATCGGTCCAACCCGTTTCCCTGGGTATGCCTTTAACAGGCGGGTTCTCGGCAGGTCCTAGTGTACAGATTCCTGTACAGACAATATTCTCCCAACCTCCATCCCAGGTTGCCGTAAGCGGGCAGCCTGCTGTCTCGCAGCCTGCACAGCCGCAGGGTACACAGCCCCAGCAGCAGCCTGCACCACAGGGTCCACAACCTGGATTGGTGCAGGTACTGGGACAAAGTCAATGGGTTCCAAAGACGGCCATCGCCGCTCCTAAACCCTTTACAGGGGATAAGAGGGGCGAAGACCTCAACACATGGTTGAGGGCAGTGCCAGTCTATGTCAAGTGCAAACTTACCTTGCCGCACGAGGAAGTGCTTGTGGCTGCCTCATATCTAGAGGGGAGTGCAGCAAGATGATTGAGTGGTTTATTGCAGCTCCAAGGGTACGGTCATGACTTTCGCGCTTGGGAGGTCACCCAAAAACTGGATGACTTTTTCAAGTTGGTGGAAGACAGGTGACATGATCCTCATGAGGCCCAAAAGGCTACTGGCGCAATCCTGACACACTGCACACGAGGCAGTTTAAGTCAGTAAGAGAGGCCACTTACGTTGTAGAGCGTCTGATCTGTGTCCCTGGGGTTCGCTATGACCCCCAGGTTTTACTCACCTCCTACCTGAGATGCTTTCCTATGCCTCTCAGGAATCAGTTGGCAGGTGAGGCCAACATCAACATGCACAACTTTCTCTCGGTCAGCAAGAAGGCCTTAGACCTGGAAGCAAAGATAGGGCATGGTCAGACACCCACAACAGATGGTAGGAGAAAGTCACTGCCTCCCAACTGGAAAGCGAAGGGACGCATCATATTCGTCGACAACGATGGTTCCACCATCGAGTTGGACGACGACTTCCAGTCGGGAGTGGGTTTAGAGGCCGGCAGCGTAGAAGCTTCAGGGGGTGGAGTAGTCGCTGTCGTAGCTCAAAAAGGTAAGGCGACCGGTAGACGCCATGGAGGTTCCCGGTTTAGGAGTCAAGTTGACCCCAATGCTCCTCCATGGGAGAAAGCGGGTCTCACTGAGAACGTGTGGAGAGATCACGACACACGGCAGACTTGTATCTGTTGTGGCTAATATGGCCATGACCAATTCAAGTGACGGAATAAGAAGGTGACCGAAAAGATCCCGCCTACGATGGGGCAGGCGTTGGGATCCTCTGCTCCCATTGGTAGCAATGTGGCCAGCAGTTCTGGCACTGCTCCGGGAAATGCGTCGGGCCAGTAGGAATAGTAGTTGTTCCTGCTAGGGTCGAGGTGGTGGACACACCCTCACCATCTCGAGAGATGGCCCAAGCTACTGACTCCATTGTCGTCCCGCAAACACATTCAGACCCATCGAGCCTCTGTTCGATGAATGTGTTTGAGTCCCCAGAGGAGCTAGAGGAGGAGTGGTCTAGATCAGACCCACTAGCTTCTTGGACGACATTGGCTAAAGCCCCTAAGGGAGAGATGTTCGTCGGCGAGGTAGTCATCGGCGGCCGCAAGGCCGGGGCCTATTATGACACTTGCTCGACAAGGAACTTTATCAGTCGCGCGTGCGTTGAGAGGCTGCGCTTACAGGGGCAAGTGCAGCGCCTGAGTCGGCCTGTGGAGTCGACCTATGCCAACAAACAACGCATGGTAGTTAATGACTACCTCCAGGATGTTGAGTGTTGTTTCCCGTACGCGGGAGGGAAACTGAGACATCGCGTCTCGTTCCTAGTGAGCGATGATCTCCCTATGGATATCTTGTTAGGTATGTACGACCTCTCCAATGCACAACCCCAGTTTGACTGGGACCGAAAAGTGGTCAAACACATTTTGCCAGGTGGGGGGACCGCCAGATTATGTAAGTTCAAAGCTAGTAGTCTGATCGAGTCCTACGGATGCATGTGTGTGGCCTCGTTTTATAACTATTACAAGCAACATCTGGAGGAGGGTATGTATCTAGTCTATGTCTCTGCAGCAGGCGAGCCAGTGAAAATGCCGCCGAGGATAGAGGGAGTAGTTGCCAAGTACCCTGATCTATTTGAAGAGCCTACAGGGGTTGTTGAGAGGGAGGTCGTCCACGCAATAGAGATTATCCCAGGGTCTAGCATCCCAAAGGGTAGGATCTATCGGATGTCTCCAGGCGAGCTAGATGAGCTTCGTCGACAACTCAAGGAACTCGTAGAGAAGGATTGGATCCGACCGAGTGTCTCTCCTTATGGTTCTCCAGTTCTATTCGTACCAAAAAAGGGGGGCACTCTAAGGATGTGCATTGACTATAGGGGCCTCAATGCCATCACTGTCAAAAATGGAGAGCCCCTACCACGCATCGACGACTTGTTAGATCGAGTGCAAGGGTGCCGGTACGTCAGTAAGATAGATATGAAGTCTGGGTACCACCAGATTGCTATACGGCCTGAGGATCAACACAAAACCGCATTTCAGACCAGGTACGGTCTGTACGAGTTTGTGGTGATGCCTTTCGGCCTTTGCAATGCTCCTGGCACCTTTCAGCACGCGATGAATCGGATCTTTCATGACTACTGGGACAAGTTTGTCATCGTGTACCTCGATGACATACTTATCTTTAGTAGGACTGTCAAAGAGCACGTAGCTCAATTGGACGAAGTCCTTAGTCTCCTTCGACAACAAAAGTTCAAGATCAACGGTGAGAAGTGCGAGTTTGGCCGCACCCGTATCTTGTACTTGGGTCATGAGATTTCTGCGGAGGGATTGAAGCCCGATGACGCGAAGGTGGCCAGCATTCGTGACTGGCTGCGTCCTCAGTCTGTGACTGAGACGAGGTCTTTCTTAGGGATGACCGGCTACTACCGCAATTTTGTTAAGAACAATAGCATAGTGGCCGCTCCTTTGAATGACCTGACCTGCCTTGACACCCCATGGAAGTGGACAGACAGGTGCGAGGCTGCTTTCAGACATCTGAAGCATGCGTTGACGCATCATGAGGTCTTGAAACTTCCTGATCCTGACAAGCCGTTTATAGTAACCACGGATGCCAGACAATATGGCATTGGTGCCGTGCTAGCGCACCAAGAGGGGCCAAAGTTGAGGCCAGTCGAGTACATGTCCAAAAAGATGCCCTCTCAGAAGTTGGCTAAGTCCACCTATGAGAAGGAGCTCTACGTGATCTACAAGGCACTGACCCATTGGAGACATTATCTCCTTGGGAGGTTCTTCATCGTCAGGACTGATCATCAAACCCTGAAGTGGATGAGAACTCAGCCTGTGCTCTCTGATGCCTTGAAGCGCTGGATCGAAGTCATTGAACAGTATGACTTCGAACCCCAGTATCTGAAGGGGGAGTACAACAAAGTTGTTGATGCCTTATCATGTAGGCCTAATTTCTCTGGTGCACTGATCACTGAGTTCGGGCTTGTGGACGATGTCACTCGTTCTATGGTGGAAGCCTATCGCGAGGATCCATTTATGTCTGAGATCATTCACAGACTCCAGGCGAAGGACAAAGTGACGTCTGCCGAGTTTGAGTTGGTCAACGGCTTGCAGTTCCTTGAGAAGGCTGGGAATAAACGTTTGTGTGTGCCTAATAGGGAGTCTTTGCACAATTTATTTTTAGGAGAGTGTCATGACGCCACCGGCCATTTTGGTTTCAAGAAGACTGCAGCCAATTTGTTGCAGCGGTTCTAGTGGCCCACGATGATGAAAGACGCAAAGTTGTACGTGGAGAATTGTCAGGTCTGTCAGAGGGACAAGCCACATACACAGGCTCCTCTTGGGCTTTTAAAGCCCCTTCCAATTCCAGAAAGGCCTCGAGAGAGCCTGTCCGTGGACTTCATGGATATGCTGGTCACCAGCAAGAGCGGTATGCGCTACGTCTATGTTATCGTGGATGGGTTTAGTAAGTATGCTAGGTTAGTGGCCATGCCGGAAACAGCAAAGACCGAGTATGTTATCAAGCTATTTTAAAGAAAACTGGGCCAGAGACTTTGGCCTGCCGAAGTCTATAATCAGTGACAATGTCTGGTTCACTAGTGAACTGTGGAAGGCCGCAACTGCCGAACAAGGAACACAGTTGCAGATGACATCTGGAAACCATCCAGAGGCAAACGGACAGGCAAAGCAAATGAACCGCACTGTTCAACACTTGCTAAGGCATTACATTAAGCCTAATCAAGTGGATTGGGATGAGAAACTGAGTCTCATCGCCAGCCTGTACAACAACGCAGTTCATAGTGCCACATGAGTAAGTCCTAACAGCCTACTTCTAACGTTCAAACCCAGACTCCCCCTTGACTTTTGCTACCTGACAACCAGCCTACTGCTGCGCCAAACACTTTGGAATTCGCTTATAGATATGAGAGCCATATGCAACAGGCAATATAACACATGCACAAAGCACAAGCGGCGATGATCGAATATGAGAACAAGCACCGCCGCCCATCTATGTTTCAGGTAGAGGACAGGGTCTGGGTCAAGGCTTTAGAACTGGGACAGGAGCACGGGATTTCCCGTAAGCTCATGCCACAGTACTTTGGACCATGGGAGGTTTTGGATGTAGTTGGGGATGAACCAGACAGACCTTCATATGTCATACGGATCCCTGGACACCTTCGCTCTTACCCTGTTTTTCACGCCTCAAAGCTTGCACCATTCAAGGAAACTGACGAGTTCCCTTCGCGACGCTCAATGCTGCCCCCAACCATGGATGGAGAGGTCGACATTGATGAAATCGTGGATCACAAAGAGATACTAGTTCCAAGACCTACCGGCAGGGGACGTCCTTCGAAACCGAAGCTGCAGTATCGCATTCGGTTCAGACATCACACTGATCCTAAGGAGGACAGATGGTTCACACGGGAAGAATTGATGCAGACCGCTCCACAGGTTGTCGCCCACTACGAGAAGTTACTGCAGAAAGGAAAGCACCAAATTGATTAAACTTCTCAGAGGACTAGCGAAGTGTGGAGGAGGGAATGCGAGGCACAAGGCCTCGATAAGCCCTACCGGGCCCTTATTTGCAACAGGTCGGCCACCCTAAGTGAAGGCAGGCTCGACAGACAACAAGAGGCCTATTCTGGACTACTTCGCAACTGGGGTAAAATTCAGGCAGTTGCGCAACACCAGTTGGTTGAAGGCGCCCAGGCCCTGGCCTCCTTTATCAAATGTATCTCAGTCAGGCCCTGGGCGAGATACGCAGCATGGACCCAACTCAGACTAAGGGCAGTTGGGCACTGGTACCTGTCGGTGGCCTGGGTCTGATTCGTTTGGACTGAGGCTTAGGCTCCCTGGGCCTACCGGAAGCTTCTGGGCCGGGGCCCAGTACCGCAGCACAGCACGCAGCAGCAGGCCACTTCGATATAGGGAAGGGCCTGCCTAAGCATTGGACATTCGGGCATTGGCTGCATGCTGCGCTAACGCTGGCCAGGCTCACGCGCTCACGGGCGAGCTGGAAGGAGCAGGCAGCCATAGCCAAGCTGCACTGCTGTATGCTGGATGGAGCGCATGGTGGTCCTTGGGTGCAAATGGCATCTGTGAGTTGGGGAACGAGGTTGTGAGTGATACGAGAGACATACCTGGTTCTTGACGCGTGCGGCATTGGCCGAGATCTGCTCATACTTGGGAAGCTGTTGACGTCATCAGCAACATTGTAGTCTAGGCTAGATAGGATCTGCCATTCGTAGTCTGGGCGCCAAGCGCCAGATAGGATATCAACATTGGTTCTTCGTTGATGATGATGA